TGCGGTCTGCGTAGAATTGACGCGCTGTTAGATTTTTGGAGAGGTGCACGTCAGGCTACGGCGTATGGGTGTGCGTCTATGCGTAAGCTACGGTGTAGGTTCGACGCAGAAGTATAAATCAGCCTTCAGATATGCGCTGCTCTCCCAGAGAGTGTGCGCGCACTTAAAACGTGTCCGTTGCAATCACAAATCTCTCCTCGTGCTCAAACTGTGTCCTTTGCACTCGTAAATCTCTCCGTGCTCTTGCGCTAGAAATGAATTCTTTTCGCACCTGGATTAAACCGTTGTCAAAAGTTATCAACAAATCAGACTTCCATGACTGACCGATTAAAATGCTACGTGAAATCTAATTAGCTGGAATTCTTTTGACAATCAAAGATGGATCTTTAATTTCGTTACAATTTAATATTTAGTCATATTAATCAAAAGTATATTAGAAATGGCTGGGATTGGGGTGCTTGGATGATTTGTGCAAATAAATAACCTAGTAATCTGATGCTGAAAATTCAGCTTTGATCACAGAAATAAATTACAGTTTAACAGATATTCACATAGAAAACAGCTGTTTGAATTATAATATGAATTATAATAACATTTCACTGTTTTTACTGTATTTTTGATCAAATAAATGGAGTTATAGTGAGCAGAAGAGACTCCATTCAAAACATTTAAAAGTTGTAATGTTTCCAAACTTTTCACAAGGGCTGTAGTTCTTTCCATTTCAGTCCAAGTTTAATTGTGTCACACACATCCATACGTAGTACGATGTGCAGTGAAATACCTCTCTAACTCTCTGCACATACAGAAATTGATATAAAAATAATATAGAAAAATCTCTCAAATATTCAAGGGCACTGAAGCCCCAGGAATCTGTAGTTTAGTGATTGCAGCCAATCATAATCCAGAAATTAATCTATTTTATTACTAATAAAGCAGTATAGACCCTGTAAGAGTGTGATTGGTGTGACGTGTGTTTTCAGGGTTACGTGTTGAGCTCCATCGAGGGCAGAGTCGCTGTGGAGTATCTGGACCCCAGTCTGGAGGTGCAGAAGAAGAAATACGCCTTCAAGTGCCACAGACTGAAGGAGAACGGCATCGAGCAGGTCTTTCCGGTCAACGCCATCTCCTTCCACAGCGTCCACAACACGTTTGCCACCGGTACACATCCACGCTCTTTATTACTGCTCGCTGACACGATCACTTCAGAGTTCTCTAATGCGCAAACATTTAGAAGCTTTTAATTCCGTGAGGTTTGAAATGTAGGCTATTTGCGGTGCTAGACGGGTGGAAAATCCTCCTATTACCCACGGCACAAAAATCACCATCAAGGAACGTTCTGTTTAAGTTATTTTTAGGTTATTTACAAATAACTTCCCGGCAATGTTCTGTGAACGTTATTTTATGGTTGCAAAATGTAAAACCTGGCCTGCCCATGTAAAGTCTTATGTGTGGGAAGCTCTGTAATCAATTTAGATAATATTTGTATTCACTCTATGCAGATTATGAACAGATGCAGTGTTCACTATAGGCTTGGGCGATGTCTGCAGTGAAACATCGTGATGGACGATGACATCGGGGGGGCGGGGTTAAGGGTGTGCCCGAAGCGTGAAACAAATAACGCGTTCTACGGACCCACTAAAAGGTTAGCCGCTTGGTAGCGGTAGTCTGTTGCATTACAGTACATGACAGTTCACTTACCACTAGGACTGGGCAATATGACGATATTATCGTATATCGACAATGTCTCGTAAGTATCGCGATGTCGATGTCAACGGAAACTGAATTTATGGCGAACCTAAATTCAGCCAACCACTTGTCCCATTGGCGATGCTCTTCCACATAGGAAGCAATCATGGTCTTCAAATTTCTGTTTACTCGCTCCGTGAGGTTAGTCTGAGGATGGTAGGCAGTGGTTAACTTTTGAACAATTCCCCACTGTTTGCATATTAGACTAATAAGCTGAGAGGTAAATTGTGCTCCTCTGTCTGACACAAGATATGCAGGAGTTCCCCATCTAGTGAAGATTTCTTCTATTAGTATTTTGGCAATGTGAGGTGACTTGGCTGCCCTCAAAGGGAACAACTCTACCCACTTTGAGCAATAATCCACCACCACAAACAAATACTCATTTTGTTTGCCACTCTTGGGGAAGGGACCCATGAGATCAACCCCAAGCATGTATCCTGGTTCTACAATTGGAGTGCTTTGTAATAGCCCAGATGGCTTTCCCGGAGAAGGCTTGAATCTTTGGCAGGTGTGGCAGTTCTTACAATGCTTCCATGTATCGGCTCGAATGCTGGGCCAATATACGGTCTCCAACAGTCTAAGAAGCGTTTTTAACTTACCCAGGTGCCCGCTCAGAGGATTATCGTGGGCGAAGTATGGTCTCCACTTTTCCACCACCCACACTACAGCTAGACATTCTTTTTAGGAGACAGAGTAAGCTTTCTCTGCTCCTCTGAGTAAGCGAGATGCATAAGCAATGACATGCTCCTCTCCTTCAGACTCTTGGGTGAGCACCGCTCCTAGACCAATGTTGCTGGCATCTGTCTGTACACGAAAAGGTTTAGTGAAGTCAGGGGTTACAAGTACGGGTGCTTGTACTAGGTCTTGCTTGAGGGTGTCAAATGCCTTTAGGCACTGGTCAGTCCAAGACCAAGTGACGTTCTTTCGTTTTAGGGCATGCAAGGAAGCAGCTTTTTCGGAAAACTGGGGAATGAATCGGTGATACCAGCCTGCTAGGCCCAAAAATCTTTGCACATCTTTAACAGTTTGAGGTACTGGGAAAGACTTTACTGCAGCAACCTTGGTCGGGTCTGTGGTCAATCCTTTTTCTGAGACTATGTGACCGAGGAACTTTAATGATTTCTGAATGAGGTTGCATTTATTTAAGTTAAGAGTGAGACCAGCTTTATGGAGACATGCGAGAACTTGATGAAGATGTTGTAGATGTTCGGTGATGGATTTGGAATACACAATGATATCGTCAATGTACACCATGCAACATTTTCCTTTAACTTCTCGTAGCACATGTTCCATTAGCCTCTGAAAGGATGCTGCGGCATTTTTCAGGCCAAAAGAAAGACACAGGAATTCATATAATCCAGTTGATGTTACACTTTATCCTCCAACTTCCTGCATTGTTTTTCCAACTCAACAGATTAAACTTTCTCACTCACCCTCTGTAGAAGATCTGTTAGCTAAGCTTCCAAGGAGGTGACGCGTGCATTCAGGTTGGAGACTGCAGAAGATGGGTAACAGTCTGACTCATCCTCTGTCTCCTCTGGGGGCGGTGGTGGAGGAGGAAAATGAAAGTCTTCATCCGGAGCATTATCCTCGCCTCTCTCACTTTCTTCATCAGAGTTAATGTACAGATCGCTAAAGGTGGTGATCAGGTCTTTCATTGGCTCTCTTCGGGAGGAAAAAGACTCAGTGGTAAAGTCTGTAATGGGTGCCACCACATCCCTATCCATGGCAGAATGAATGGTTACAAAACTAAGTGACTTAAATGTTGGAATTAGGCTATAAAATGGTTTGGTGTTCTGGAGGTCTGATAATATAGTCAATCGGTCCCTGTTCAGGCGCCAATCTGTAACCGTCCCGCTGAGCACTCCCAGAAGGGCAAATTACAATTACATTTATAAGGGAGGACTCCATTGACTATTTTTGGTTTAACCAGACCCAGTAACACACAAACCAAGAAGATGACCACAAAAATATCCTCAAAAAGTGTTTATATAAGAAATGCCACAAAAACTCAAAGACACAAACAACAAGTAAGCAAACAGTCTGTTGCATGAATGTTCTCCTTTGCTTTCAAAATCAGTAAAGAATTACTAAAGAAAAGAGCTTATCTGTTCATTGTCCATTAAGTAGTGCTTTATCCTAGAAAGTCTCTGTCCCTTAGTGAAGATGACGATGATGAGTTGTTAAATTAGTGAGGAGCCAACATCCCAGAAATTTTCTTTCTAGAATGAGCTCCAATTAGCTTTGTTTGAAGATCCCCAGGCGCTACATTAGGGTGTGTTGCAATGACTTTATCCTTATAACACTCCATCATCATCAATCAGTGGAACCAGTCAAACCACCGTTGCTATTGGCATGGGTCACCCCAAAATCCCAAATGATAAGCGGAGTAGTATAAGCATTGTAGAATGTCTCATAAATAGGTATTTAGGATGATCAGTGTTGTAGAGGAAGGTAAGAAAAAAAGTCCTTCTATATGAAAACATACAAACTAACATTAGCACCAAACACAGTCACATTTAAATAACCCAAATAGGACATAGGACAAACACCAATTACAAGATAAATGCAACGTTAACCACACAAAATGAACAACAAACCACTTACTTCTTACTTGGTAAAACAATGGTTTCCCAACCCGGACTCTACACATGAGGTTAGCACAAGAGGAAGCCATGCTTCTCTCCAACCAAACATACTCTTACTCTGCTTTTCCCTGACTTTTATCCCAGAGGATCAGTACTACAGAGAGCCCCCTGTCTTTGGCAACTTAATAAAAGACTTGCATTTAAATTGCCTGTGTTAACCTGTTTTTTAATCTCAGAATGTGTATAGTTAGCAATTTAGTTACTTCATGTAAAAAAAAAAAAAAAAACTTACAAAAATGAATGTGAACAATTTGTTACTGAGAAATTAAAACTGTTTTATGAAGGTAAAATAAATTGTAATGTAACAAATGTTTGTTATCTTTAAATTTTAATTGGTTCTGTGAACCCAAAATCTACTTGTAAAATGACTTGATCAATAATGTTACAGTAACTTGTAAGATTAAGTTAGTGTCAGTTAAAATGACCTAGTACAAGTTACTTAAAAAAAAAAGGATGTTTCTTTAACTTGTAAAACTGAGTTAGTGTCACTTAAAATTTTCGATGTAATCAGTTTCAACTATTTTTTTTTAGTTATATTAACTTATCCGGTTTTACAGCATTGATTTTGAAGAAAATCAGAAATTGTTGCAGAAGCTTCCTGACTGGAAAGCAACCCACTGGAATCGGTAAGTTACTAATATACTAGATTAGAGGAGGCAGGGAAGGCCTGGGAAGGAATAGAAATGTCTGAAAACCAGTGCATAATGCTGAACCCATTTCAAAGAGAAAAGAGAGAAACCCAGCCCTTCTGCCATTCAAGATAAAAAGCAAATAGAATGTGTCTGCGGTCAACAAAATCACTTTATATACAAACGTGAAAAATTTGCAGCAATGCCTTTTAAGGGGGAAAAAAAAAGGTTTGTTATTAACAAGATGTGCCTCGGTTGCCTTGGAATTGACCACATCTCCAAAAACTGCAGAAAGCGAGCCACTTGAAACATCTGCAGACTGAGTCATCACTCACCGCTTCGTGAAGAACATCTGCCAAGAGAAAAGCTCCACCTGATGAAAGGGCTTCAACTATGTAGAGTTTGAGAATGGATAACAGTGATCGCACTTCAATGGTTGTACCAGTATGACTCTCTTGTGCAACAAAAGACAGCCCAGAAACCTTAGTCTATGCATTAGACATGCAGAGCAGTAAATACATTTACTGATCAGGATGTCTATGAGAAAATTCTAGCAGACATTGAACATGTTAAATTAAGGCTGTCAATGACTGATTGGGCTTCAATAGAGAATTGTCAAAAAGTGGTTGGATTAAAGCAAGTGATATCAGCCAAAGACCACAAACCATACACGGTCAAGACTTATTTAGGCTGGAGTATAGTGGGATCCATAACAACTAATGCTTGCTCAAGAGATGTGACAGGGTTTTGTCATCCCATTTCTGTGAAGGACCTCCCGGCTATCACACCTGCCTCTGTAATTAAATCAGTGGTGGACAGCAACAAAGTTTTTAACATCCATATCGATAAAGTTGACAGTCCACTTACAAGAGAATTTATATCATGTCTCGATAGTTTTGGTATACAGCAGTATGCCAATACTCCAATTCACTCTAAGGGACATATTCTCGTTCTTATTTGCTGCTCTGGAATAACTCCTCATAATTGTACAGCCTCAGACTTGTCCATTTCTGATAATTTTCTGGTGTCTTTCAATGTTTATGCTACAGTGTCTAAGGTTAATGTAAGTCGCTCTGTCACTTTCCGTAACAAAGTCTATCGATAAATCTGCCGTTGCTGATTATTTAGCTAATTTTGCCAGCAAAGTTGACTCATCCACTGTCGAGAACATGGTTGCTGCTTATAATGATGGTCTTTGTGAGATTTTAGATGTGTATGCTCCTTTGAAAACCCGGACTGTTTCTTTTACCCACTCAGCTCCTTGGTATACTCCTGAATTGCATCAACTTAATGCTAAAGGCCGTCGTCTTGAATGCTTGTACGCCAAAACGGGTCTTCCGGACTTTAAAGTATTATATGCTCATCATATGCAAGATTATAAGGATGCTATCACAAAGGCCAAGTCTGAATTTTATACTAATTTATTTAGGGCAAGGGAAGGGGATACTCAATTTCTTTTTGCTACGGTCAATAAGCTTCTGCAGTCTCCCGAACCCTTACCATCTTATATGTACGTACTCCACTTATGTAATGCTTTTATGGATTATTTTAATATAAAAATAAAAAATATACACAAGCAAATACTTTCAAATTATGTTGATTGTGATAGTTTAGATTTATCTGTTATTAAATCTACACTTCCTAACTTTTCTACATTTAATCTTCCTACCACTGATGAGATAACTTTTATTATCCAGAAATCTAAATCGACCACTTGCCATTTGGATCCTCTTCCAACACACATTTAGTCAAAGCATGTTTATCCTCTCGGTCTTGTTTAATCACTGGGATTATTATTTTTTCGTTGTCTTCTGGTATTGTTCCTTCATCACTTAAAACTGCTACAAAAACTCCTATTCTGAAAAAAAAAAATAAATAAAAAAAAAAACAGGAGAAGATCCAACTAATCTTGAGAACTTTCGTCCAATCTCAAACTTACCATTTATTTCTAAAATATTAGAAAAGATAGCTCAGATTGCAGACTTCATGTCTGATAATAAACTGTTTGAAAATTTTCAGGCTGGTTTTTGTCCACTTCATAGTACGGAAACCGCGTTAATCAAAATTACCAACGATTTGCTTAAGGCAGCGGATTCTGGACAGTTAACATCACTTATCTTGCTTGATCTGAGTGTGGCCTTCGATACAGTCTCACATAACATCTTACTAGACAGGCTGGCTTCCCTGGGAATTATGGGTACCGGTCTGTCCTGTTTTAGATTGTATCTCTCTGGACGCACTCAGTTTGTCCAACTCAAAAAATTTAAATCTGAATCATCAAATGTTACCACAGGTGTTCCCCAAGGTTCAGTCTTGGGTCCTTTGTTGTTTATTTTTTATTTAAAATTTTCATTGTTATGCAGACGACAGCCAACTTTATCTCTTCTTTACCTACTTCCGTTTTTCCTTCTCTGTTAAGCTGTCTAGCTGAAATAAAAACCTGGTTTTCGTCTAATTTTCTGAAACTTAATAGCGAAAAAACTGATATTCTTCTTGTAGCATCCAGGTCTAATTTGGCAAAATCTTGCAGCTTTTCTGTGTCTATTGATCAGTCTATAGTTTCTCCTTCATTACAGGTAAAAAGTTTGTGTGTCATCCTTGATAGTACACTATCTTTTGAAACTCACATTAATAATACTGTCCGATCCGCCTACTTTCACTTACGAAATATAAACAGTCTTCGTCCTTTTTTAACAACAAATACTACTGCTATTCTTGTGCATTCCTTGGTTATGTCATGTAAAGGATTACAATAATCTAGACTTTTTGGTCTCCCTTCAAAACTCTTACATAAGCTGCAGTTGGTACAGAATTCAGCTGCACAAATTATTACTAGATCCCCTCTTGTAGAGCATATTTCACTGGTTCTTTGCCATCTGCATTGGCTTGTAACCGTCCCGCTGAGCACTCCCAGAAGGGCAAATTACAATTACATTTATAAGGGAGGACTCCACTGACTATTTTTGGTTTAACCAGACCCAGTAACACACAAACCAAGAAGCTGACCACAAAAATATCCTCAAAAAGTGTTTATATAAGAAATGCCACAAAAAAAACCTCATAAAGACACAAACAACAAGTAAGCAAAAAGACTGTTGCATGAATGTTCTCCTTTGCTTTCAGAATCAGTAAAGAATTACTAAAGAAAAGAGCTTATCTGTTCATTGTCCATTAAGTAGTGCTTTATCCTAGAAAGTCTCTGTCCCTTAGTGAAGATGATGACGATGAGTTGTTAAATTAGTGAGGAGCAAACATCCCAGAAGTTTCCTTCCTAGAATGAGCTCCAATTAGCTTTGTTTGAAGATCCCCAGGCGCTACATTAGGGTGTGTTGCAATGATTTATCCTTATAACACTCCATCATCATCAATCAGTGGAACCAGTCAAACCACCGTTGCTATTGGCATGGGTCACCCCAAAATCCCAAATGATAAGCGGAGTAGTATAAGCATTGTAGAATGTCTCATAAATAGGTATTTAGGATGATCAGTGTTGTAGAGGAAGGTAAGAAAAAAAGTCCTTCTATATGAAAACATACAAACTAACATTAGCACCAAACACAGTCACATTTAAATAACCCAAATAGGACAAACAATAAACCACCAATTACAAGATAAATGCAACGTTAACCACACAAAATGAACAACAAACCACTTACTTGGTTGAGCTTAAAACAATGGTTTCCCAACCCGGACTCTACACATGAGGTTAGCACAAGAGGAAGCCATGCTTCTCTCCAACCAAACGTACGTTTACTCTGCTTTCCCTGACTTTTATCCCAGAGGTTCAGTACTCTAGAGAACCCCCTGGAGCATGGAAAATGTACTACAGTTAGAAAAACCACAGTAACTGCACTGTGGGCGGTTACACTTCATAGGGATGTTTAGATAGCTATAGAAGAATTCACGTTCACGTTTTTTTAATATTTAACTTACAGATCTCAGTTTAAATACTTCAGTTTGTTTTGATATTATATTATGTTAGGCCTATATTATAAACCTAATAAATAATTGACCTTGTTTTTTAATGGAGTCTCTTATGCTCATCAATTATGTATTTATTTGATTGAAAATACAGAAAAAAAACAGTAATATTGTGAAACATTATTTTACAACACGTTTCTAATATTGGTTTCCTATTTTAATATACTTTAAAATATAATTTATTCCCGTGAAGCAGCGCTGTATTTTCAGCATCATTACTCCAGTATAAAGTGTCACATGATCGTCAGAAATCATTCTGATATGCTGATTTATTATCATATATTTATGTTGTGCTGCTTCATATTTTTTTTTTTTTTGGGAACCTGTAATACTTTTTTCTTTGATTCATTGATTAATAAAAAGTTAAAAAGAACAGCATTTATTCAAAATAGAAATCTTTTCTAAAAATATAAGTCTTTACTATCACTTTTTATCCATTTAACACATTCTTGCTGAATAAAAGTATTAATTTCTTTAAAAAAAAAAAAGAAAAAATTACTGACTTTTGAATAGTAGTGTATATTGTAACACAGAATTTCTATTTTGAATAAACACTGTTCTTTTTAACTTTTTATTTATCAAAGAATCCTGAAAAAATATGACGGGTCCCCAAAAAATATTAAGCAGCACAACAGTTTCAGCACTGATAATAAATCAGCATATTAGAATGATTTCTGAAGATCATGTGACACTGAAGACTGGAGTAATGATGCTGAAAATACAGCTGCGCATCATAGAAATACATTACAGTTTAACAGATATTCACATAGAAAACTTATTTTAAATTGCAATAATATTTCACAATAAATATTAGTCGCGGTACACAAATTAAATATAAATATCACATTAAAGTTAAAAGTTACACACTTTTTTGTGTGCGTGCTGTACAGGTCTGGTATAAAGAATGTGTTTGCTCGGGTGGATGAGATGTCCGCCCAATAGAGAAACGTTTTGCTCAGCAAGAAAAAGAATTAGAGGGAACATAGTTTGTGATCTCGAAAGTGAAATGAGAGCGCGCAATCGAAAGCGGTTTCAATAGCAGCTCCCTGATGCCCGCAGTTTATATAGTCGCCTGTACAGTTTATATGTCAGCTCAACACCGTGCTGTCTGTCAGCCGTCGGCCCAGCCCTAGTTCAGTAGCATATTACTGTGAGTTTGGAGTTTGCTTGACCAGTGACTGATGGAAAACCTGTTTGAAAACAATCATTATTTTGTGGTGCAGAAACCACATTGAATATTTGTTTTAACTTTGATCATTTAAAATGAACCAGTGAACACAAAGATGATTTACATGGTCAAACGTTCAGAGAAACAGGGAACAGTTACAGAACATAAAATTAACACTTTCCCTTGTACATGCAGTTTTTGTTGGTGTAAACCACTCAGACTGAGGGGTGTGTGTGTGTGTGTGTGTGTGTG